AGATGCCGAGGAGCTCAGAAGGTGGGCGACTGTGACCAGTGATAGTCATGTATATAGAGATTAGAAATGCATGTGAATACGTCTCAATGTCAATTGCTTTGGAATGAATTCTTTTGTATGAAAAAAAAAATTAAAAAAATAATGATTAAAAAACAATAATTAGTAGATGTGAAAAACATTACCATTGAAATCTACCTGATGACTTTATATTCATGTTCAGATGCCTAGAAGCTCAGAAAGTAACCAACTGTGACTAGTAATAATCAGATATACAGAGATTAGAAATGCATGTGCAAACATCTTAATGTTAATTGCATTAAAATGAATTTTTCTATATGAAACTGTGTATTTTAATAATGAAATGGAGATCTTTTTAAAGGTTAAAACATCATTTAATTTATGTCTTATAGGGTTTATACTGAGTACAATATTGTATAACTGTAATAATTCAACTGTAAGCCTAAAAATTTACAGCCAAATTTGAAAGAGATGCATCCTACTTCAGGAAAACGTTATTGAATATGTCAATTGTGTTGTAATGATATGCTTCTTCTAAGTATGTTGTTATTAAATAAATCATTTTTAAAAATTAAAAAAAAATATTGTTTAAGAAGGAAATGATGAGCAAAACTTTTGTCAGCACAGGAGAGACCAACACATGCTAGAATACTACCACTTATCGTGATCTTGGGCTTGCTGAATCTCCAGATGTGTATTTTTATGTTCAAAGCTGATCCCTCCACAGCACTTATATAAGGAGAAAATAGATTTGTGTTAACAAATGATCTCTGATATTCAAGACAATGTTGTGTGTTTGCTTAACTTTAATATATCGATCCTGTGGGTTAGAAGAGCTAAGAACTCTTTCAGTCATAAATTTGTGGGCCAGCAAGATAGCTCATCAGGTAAAGCTACTTGCTGCCAAACTTACTGGATTCGATCCCCAGTATCCACATGGTGGAAGGTTGTCCTCTGACCTACACACACATGGCATGCATGTACCTGCGCACATATACATACTAAATAAACAAACAAGCAAACAAATGATTTAAATCATAGATTTCAATGGGGAGAAAGCTATTTAGATAAGAAAACAAATAAGCACAAAATGCCCTGTGAGAGCTTATAAGATGAATGGATGCTGCAGTTATGATTCTTCAAAGGTGATGAACTGGAAATGCAGTGTTTCCTCTTCTGCTTGTTGAAGGCACACCCGAAGCAAGAGCAAACTCCTCCTCAAAAGCACTCATTCTACTCAGGACGATCCAGTTAGTAACTCAGGCTGTTTTCCCTCTCAGTGTTGAGTATATCCTTTACTGACTGACATTTTAAAAATAATGTCTATTTTTAATATTATGTTTCATTATCTTTTCTTATTGTCTTTTAAATTTGTTTTCTAGAAATTGATCTATAGTATCTATATATATATATATATGTGTGTGTATATACATAAAAAAAAACAACATATAGTTCTTTGTGTTTTAGCAGATGACTGCAGTCATGTCACCAGTACTAAAATCGAAATACACAAAAGCTCCATCAGCCCATGAAACCCCCTACTTCCTCTTTGGCATAGGTGTCTGCCCCAGCTCCCAACCCCGGCAATCAGAGATTTGTTTTCTATACCTGTAGTTTTGCCTTTGTCAGAATATCAGAGATGACATGAAGCAGTATCAGGCTGGTTTTGCCTGGCTTCTTTCACTTGGTATAACGTTCTTAAGTTTAATTCATGTTCATCTGTTTCAAAAGTTTATTCCTTTCCGTTGTATGGACAGACTCCAGTTTGTTTATCCATTCAGTTAAAGTCTGTTTGAGTTCTCCAGTTTAGAGGATTATAAATGCGCTCTAAGCATTGATATTCATGTTTTTGTGGGGACATAAATGTTTATTTCTTTTGGATAAAATCTTAAGAATGGGACTGTGGGGGCATATGAAAAATCTGTTTTAACTTCATGCGGAAACAATAATCACTTCAAAGTGACCCTGTTATTGTGTATTCCCAACATCATATGAGAGTCCCAGCTAAATCGCCCTTTATTGTTATGTTTTTGTTCTGTTCGTAGACAGTCTAAGAGGTGTCTGGCATTATGACACTGTGATTTTAATGTGTACTTTTCTTAGTGAATAATAATGCTACACATCTTTACATGTGTTATCATAAATCTTACACAATATCTGTTCAATCTCTCACTTTTAATTGTCATATTTTCTTAGTAATGAGTTTTGAGAGGAATTTTGTTGTTGGTCTAGATACGTGTTTGGTCAGATGGGGTACTGGAGGGAGTGTTGTTGTTGTTGTTTGGGTTTTTGGTTTTTTTTTGAGTCAGGATTTTCTATGTAGCTCCAGCTAGCCTAGAACTCCCTATTAGACCAGGCTGGCCTCAAATTCACAGAGATCCACCAGCCTTTGCTTCCGAATGCTGGGATTAAAGGTATACTCTAAGGCTAGATGTGTTGGTACAAGCCTTTAATCCCAGCACTTGGGAAGCAAAGGCAGGCTGATTTCTGTGAGATGGAGGCTGGCCTAGTCTATGTAGTAAATTCTAGACCATGTCTCCAATTTTTTTTTTTTTTTTTTGGTCTTTTTGAGACAGGGTCTCCCTGTAGCCCCAGCTGTCCTGGAACTCACTATGTAGACCAGGCTGGCCTTGAACTCACAGAGATCCACCTACCTCTGCCTCCCGAGTGCTGGGATTAAAGGCGTGCACCACCATGCCCGGCCTGTCTCCAATTTTTAAAAAAGGTATGCACCACCACACCCAGCCAGATGATGTATTTTGTAAATATTGTTTTTTTGCCTGTAGAGTATCTTTTCAATATCATAGTGATTTTCTTCATAGAATGAAAATTCATGATTTTGCTAACCTATTTTCTCTTTTGTTCATGCTTTTAATGGTATCTCTGAAAAATTCTTTGTCTAACATAAGGCCACAAGTATTTTTATCCTGTATTTTTCTAGATATGTGATACATTTATGTTTCACATTTAGGTCTATGATCCATTTTATTTTTGTGTAAGGTTCAAGGCATAAGTTTAGCATTTCAATGTCCAATTGTTTCAACCCCCTGTTGGAGACTGTACTGTCTTCAGCAAATGGCTTTGACCGTGTGTGTACATGTGC